TTAATATTTAGATCTTTAATCCACTTCAATCTTAATTTAGTGCACGGTGATAGATATGGGTCTAGTTTTAATCTCTGGCAGGTTGAAATCTAGTTTTTCCAACACCATTTATTAAATAGGCCATCATTCCTCCAGTGAGGGTAGTTGGCTCCTTTGTCAAAGATGAGGTGGCTGAGTATGTCTGGAGTTGTTTCTGCATCTTCTAATCTGTTCCACTGATCCTCGGGTCTGTTGGAACATCTTTTCATCAAGAAAGCTAGGCCATTACCAAAGATTGCTAGGGTGTGTATCCAAAGGGTTTAGGAGCCAAGTTGGAAAGCCTCTGCTGGCCAAAGATAGGATTCTTTGAGCATCAAAAAGAACAATAATGATAATGAATCTATCATATATCAGATATGTTAAAATATATAAATTCTTGGTAATTAAAATGGGGGAAAACTCATTAATTACTTTTGGAGGATACTAAGAAATCAACCCATCATCTTGAAAATTGGCAAATAAAGGGGAAAAATCAGGCATTTATCTCATCTTTCCTGTATAACCAACTCCTTAAGATAACCAAGAGTTTAGAGAGAAAGATTATGAAAGTTTATACAAGTATTCCAGCATCTCTAAAGAAAGAATGGATGTGGTGGATCATGCCTGTAACCCCAGCACTCAGGGAGAAAGACAGGAGGATAAGCTCAAGCCCAGCCTGTATAACTCAGTGACTTAATGAGACCCTGGCTCAAAAAAATTTTACACAGTTCAGGGGGTGCAGAGTATAGGGATGTAGCTCAGTGCAAAGGCCCTGGGTTCAAGTCCCAGGACTGCAGAAGGGAGGGAGAGAGAAGGGTGGAGAACCTAGGCAGTGATCTTCAGTGGCTGCTAAAGGCAGTTTGTGCAAAACGTAAAGCTCCAGCCTAGAATGCTTGAACCCTGTGATTAATCTGTAACAGCACAGGAAGAAATGAAGAAACCATACACTATAGAATACTGTTATAAAGTCTTTTTGCCAGAAGATCAAACTTCAGTCTATTCGAGCCTCTAGCTCTAACCACCAGTTTACAGAGCACAGGGGTCAGAGGAACATGCTAAAAAAATATTTGAATACAATTAGGAAAATGTAGAATGTGGGTAACTCTATAGGATACACAGCTCATTGTCTTTAACAGCAAATTGTCTCTGTGTTGTAGGGTTATGAGTATGTGTATCTGTGTGTTTACCTGTATTTTCCCAAAATTAACGCACATTATAGGTTACACAAAAATAAATATATATTCCCCCTCCTTCCTGGCCACCTAACCACCACCACCCTTTTTTGTTTCTTTCTTTGTTTTTTGTTTTGTTTTGTTTTGTTTTTTGAGACAGGGTCTCACTAAGTTATCAAGTTGCCAGGCTGGGCTGGAACTTGTGGTCCTCCTGTCTCAGCCTCCCAGAGTTCTAAAATTATAGGCATGTACTACTATGCCTATGCAGTTTTTTTAAAAGTATTTTTAAAAGTAAAAATTAACTTTCTAATAATGTAGAAAACAAGGTAAATGGAGAGAGGGAAAGGAAAAACAGATTGAGATAATTTGGCTAGATCTTAGAGGATTTTATTAGCTTATGATATTCAGTACATATTGGGAAGCAGATAAAATCTTGTCTAAGCTTGACTCAGAAATTTTACAAAGATTTTATAAGCCCAATTCTGACACAGAAGGAGTGGGCCTTGCTGCAAGCATATCCAAGGTGTTTCTTTTGATAGATAGGGTCTTGTCATAGACCCTGGTCAGGATCTTCAGTGCCTCTGGTAACACCTTATGTATATTAATTTACTTAGATTTTTAATATTAGGCATAAGAAATAGGCATTATCCTCATATACAGGGGAAGGGCCCTAACTCAGTTTTTGGCAACCAGAAGCCAAAGATTTCTGCTGCTAACTGTTGGCATCTTCCTAGCAGCAAGTTATAGGGGAGGCAGTAGGGTTGAACATTTTCTACCTCTTTCAAGATCATGTCAAAGTCTAAGAATACTAGACCTCAGAGTAATTACTGACCTCATTCCTGCTGGGATGGTGGTAACACTGTGTTGGTGTGGCTAGGAGAAGTAGCTATAGCACACTAGGGGTAAGTTCTAGCTTCTAGGCCTGGAGGACCTTTTTGTAGCCTTGTTACTCCCTGGGCTCATTGGGGTGACTTAGAAATCTAAGAGTCAGGCCCTGAGGCCTGGTGCATAGTCCTTCTTGGCCAGGAGCAGGCCCACAGCAAGACCCAGCACTTGTGGGCTGCCAGTGCCCTGTAAAGAGCATCAGACAGGGTGCTAGGCTCCATGTGAAGTCGTGTTATCCAAGCATCTGTGAAGAGCCTGGCTCCTATACCTTTGCCTCCGTGCCTCACTTCTAAGCCTGAAACCCACCCTGCCTTTCACAGAGTGACACTTGCCTTTCCCACCTCCCCAGTCCCACATCACTTTGCCTTCCTCTCTCCCCTTTTCCTCCCATCTCCTCTCCAGGCCAAAATGAACCCCTCCCCATAAACTCCAAGCCCTTTCACCTCCTCCACAGGAACTTAGGGTCCCTCTTCCCTCCTCTTCACCAACAAATGCACTTCGATTCTTGCTGGCTTGAAACCTCTCAGCCCTGCCTCCTATTCACAGGATTCTGGCTTTTCTTTCTCTTCACTACCAAACATCTGTTTCCTGTAACTTTTGCCCCACTTTGCCCTCTCACCATGAATTCTTCTTCCTCGCCCTGGGTGGTCTAATCAGCTCCAAAATTATGTCTCTCTGCACTGGCTGTGTTTTTGGATATTTTTTTTGCTCACTGGACTATGTCTTATCCCATGTTTCCAGATTGGAGGAACAAAGTAGGCAGCACTGACTGTAGATGGATGCAAGATAACTTTCCAGCTCTGAGCCATTAAGCCTTGCTGAGCAGATCTTGTCCCTTCACTTGTGCAGCTGGCCAAATAAAGACTGACCGGGCCTGCTCCCTCACACACAGACTCCCCTCAGCAAGACCAGCAGGTCCCCAGTGAACAGGCTGGGGCTAGGAGGACATGCTGGAATGTGGAGGTGGTTTCCTACAGACCCCTTGCTGAGACGCTGCACAGAGGAGCCAACCAATACTCCAGTCTTGCATTTTTGTGATCCTCAAAAGCCCTGTTGCATTTCAGGTTCTCCAAGCCAGCACCCATGTTCCTGGATGACTCCTTTCGCAAGTGGGCTAGGATCCGGGAATTTGTGCCACCTTTTGGAATCAAAGGTCAAGGTACGTTGAGAAACCTAAACTGTATTAACTTTCATTACCCAGACTGAACCCCTGTACTTCAGAACAGAACTATATCCTCCAAACTCCCCATGCTGAGGATTCACCCACACTCTACTCTTAACATACCTTCGCTTCCTCCCTCCTTTTCTCATACTTCTTTAATGGAATATTTACTCAGAGCACGACGCTTTGCCAGGGGTAGGTATACAACAGTGACATAGGCAGAAGTGGTCCCTGTCCTCAAAAATCTCTGGTCTAGGCTAGGGATTTAGCTCAGCAGCACCATGCCTGCCTCGCAAGCACAAGGTCCCGAGTTTGATCCCCAGTACCAAAAAAAAAAAAAAAGACAGAAGGGCTCTGCTGGGGTAGTCCAAGGAGCTGTAAGATCATAGAAGAGACATCATCCTAAGTCACTAGGGATGATGGGGAAGACACAGCCAGCTCCCAGAAATACCTCGAAACTCCTCCGTTTGTCCTCACCTTGCATTCTAACCAAGACTCCCTTCCAGTGGTTCTTCTCCCCTGTCCAAGGCTATCTTTTCCCCTATATTCTCAGAAACTATTCCCTCATTGCCTTAGGGACTTCTCCCACATGGTTTCTTCCTAACTTAAGACTTTCTCATCCCTAACAGTTTAACACTTCTGCTTCGTCACATTCCTGTGCTGTTTCATATCCTGGTAGAAAAGAGCTGGTGCTTTAGAGTCAGACATAGGGGATCAGACCCACATACTACCTCTTTACTAGCTATGACCTCAGATACGCTACTTAACCTTTCTGCTTTAGTTTTTTCATCTGCTAAATAGAGAAAATAGCACAAGTCTATAAGATTGTGGTCAGAGTTAAATGAAATAACTGTTAATGAGGTGATATCATTGGCCACGAGACTCAAAAATACTTAAACCCACTACTCAGCTAGCTCCCCTCTTCCTGAAAAGAAGATAGTGGCCAACAAAAATCTGTTGAACTGGAGCTTGGACCTCCAGCTTCCAAGGACACATCTAAGGAGTTGGGTTGAGCCATATGTGATCTCTTTCCTTGGTGCATGTAGCCAAGCATCTTATCCTTTTCTCTTAAGTCCAGTTGAAACTTGATCATGCAGCCACAAAGGCCAAGGAAGGGCAGGGCAGCAGCCCCTGGCCAGCAAGCCATGGGTTACTTGTGTGTGCCCTTTCTTCTAAGCATCCCCACCCCATTCACATCTTTGACTTTTCCCAGTTAGTAGCATTATGCTCTTCTTTAGAGGCACAGCTGGGGGTAGGGATCTGCGGTCTTCCCTGAAGCTCATATAAGGTATATCTGAAGGCACGTAGTATAGCACATCCCTTAAGAGTTTGTTCCTCACCCCATTCTCATTCAACTTCAGGGAAGACTGGCTGTGCCTGCTGCCTGCTGTTTCTTAACAGGTCCTCCTGAAGAACATTTTCTTCCCTACCATTCCAGGGCAGCTACTCAGTGACTCAGTGAATTCTAAAGAATGCTTTTCAGCCCTGGACCTGACATTGTCTCCACCCACTCTTTTTATAAATTGCATGGGGCTAGGGATGTGGCTGTCTGGTAGAGCACTTACCTAGCATGTGAGAGGCCCTGGGTACAATCCCCAGCCCTGTGAATAATAAATAAATAAGTCGTGTGTGTGTGTGTGTGTGTGTGTGTGTGTAGAGGCCTCCTTCCTATACATGAAAAAATTTCAGGCAGACAAACAAGTGTAAGGAATAATATACCATCTATCCAGCCTAAGAAATAAAAGTATGAGCTGTAATAAGACAAATGTGTAGCTCTTCCCTTCTGTGCTCTTCCTTCCCCTAGGAGACCATTATCCTGGTTTTGGTTGACATCCCTATACCTTGTTTATATATATACCATTAAAATATATTGATTTTGCATGTTTATAAACTTTATACATGGTACCACTGTATATATATTCTTCAAATATTTTTTTTTTGCTTATGTTTGTTGGTACATGTAGCTCTAAGTAATTGATTCTTTTTTTATTGGATAGTATTTCATGGGCATGTGTGGCTGTGTAGTATTTTGTGTGCCACATGTAATGTATCTTCCTTTGGTGGCCACTTGGGTCACCTCCAGCATTTTGCTATTACAAATATTTCATCAGTGAACACTCTTTGACAGGGCTCTTTGAACAAGTGGGTGAGTTTTGCAGCACTGTGTTCCTAGGAGTAGTGTTGCAGGGTCCTAGTCACGCACACCTGTGTCCTTATTTGACATTATTAAGTGCTCTCTACTATGGGGGCACCAATTGGTCTTTAGGTTTTTATGTACATTATCTTAAATCTCCCTAATGACTCTGAGAAGTAGGAGTTACTACCTTCATTTAGAGGTAAGGAAACTAAAGCTCAAAGAAAGTAAATCATTTACTTGAAGTCACAGAGCTCTTAACTCATAGGGCCAGGATTTAACTCCAAAACCAATGCCTTCATTATACATTCCTTTTTTTTTTTTTTTTTTTTTGGTACTGGGGATCGAACTCAGAACCTTGTGCTTGCGAGGCAGGCGGTGGCACCACTAAACTAAATCCCTGGCCCATACATTCTTTATTATATCTTCGTACTCTCATTATACCAGAGTTTGATGTTCTCATTATGCCGTTGCCAAAGCCAGAGAAAGGCCAAGAGGAAGTCTCAATAGCAGTCACTGAGTCCGAGAGTGCAGAGATCCCTAGGGTCTTGCTGAGAGCAGCCTGAGTGGAGTGCAGGTGGGCAGATGCCAGGCTGCAGGGGGGTGAGGAGGGAAAGAGGGAGAGGCAGCCTGGCAAAGGGCAGAATTACACATTGGCAGTGGAAAAGGGAGCAAGCAAGGGGAAGGCGGTATCAGGAACTGAGGCAAGTGGTCCACTGGGTGAGCTCTTCATCACTGTCTCCACATTTGTTCCTGCTGGTCTGCTTGCTGGGGCACAGAGGTAAACACATGCGGTCTCTGTCTCTGAGTAGGGACTCTCATTTCTAGGGGAGACTCCACGTTAGCCTAGTGATACACATCCTGAGTCCAACTGCAGAGCCTCAGAAAGCCAGATGAGTCTCCGAGGAAGGTGGAGAAGCCCTGGGAAGGACACACATGCTTGTGTCAGGGACTGGCTCCTGGCAGAGATATGCCTGCCTGATTCCCTGTCTCCATCTCCTTTCTCAAGGGAGAGCGTTATCCACTTACCAGTCCAATTATTTAAATACAGGATGACCAAAAATTGCATTGGTTTCATTAATTTGTATAAGATAATATAACAGAATATAAAATCAACAAGTAGGAATATATCTTGTGCAAACAAGAGTTGACTGGTAGAAATGACACCTGCCCAAGCAATACTCTGGACAGTACATAAACAAATGCACTGCCCAAGTGATGCTCAGAGTAAAGTGGTAAGGGGCTAAGATAGTAGCCTGGCCTTACCTTGTTCCCAGAGCTTCTTCTCCTTACTTCCATTTCCACTTCCACTCTGGTCCCAGGAACTTGTGCCACAAGTAGAATAAGAGGCAAACATTTTATGGGGTCTTAAGTGACCCTCTAACAGCCACTTCCCTCCTCTGTCCACAGACAATCTGATCAAAGCCATCTTGTCAGTCACCAAAGAGTACCGTCTGACCCCTGCCTTGGACAGGTGAGTCTCTTGCCCCCTGGCTGCCGGCATGTGCAGAGGTGCTGAGGCCCAGCTGGCCTTGCCCCTCCAGCCTGTCTGCAGCTGCCCATTCATTGTGTCCACTGCGGTGAGCAAAGCAGGTAAGTGGCCTTGTACCTCTGTGGGCTGGCAGCACTTGGCAAGACATCTCAATCCTCAGTCAGAGGACTGGGAGTAAAAGCTAAAGACAGTAGGATCAAGATCAGCCCAGCAAGGAGAGTGGGGGATCTAGGTGGTGAGGGCAGCTGAAGGGTGAGGCTTTCAGTTCAGGGGGCAGGATATCTCTGAAGCCAATAGACCCTGGAGTTAGGAAGCCCCAGGCTCAGAGATGGACAAACCACTCCTTGGTGCTTTGGAGGCTTCTGAGTGGAAAATAAGCCAAGCCCTGGAGCATTCAGACCCTTCCCCTGCTTACCTGGTAGAGCCTCTCAAGCTCAGCCCACTTCTGTGTCCCCTAGGGCTGCCTAAACCCTACTAACCCTCAGGGAATCTTTACCCTCAAATGCCATCTTACCAGAGCCCCCTGTCACCTCCCAGGTTGGTTCCCAAACTTTCTGTACCATGTTTCCCTTGGAAAGTGTTAGGGATCAGGGATGCCAGGTCCTGTCGCCTGGTTCTGGCCTCCTCTCAGAAATGCTGCCAGAAGCCCTTTGGGCTTCCTGTACCCCATCCTGGTCCTGGGGTCAAAGATCAAAGGGACAAAGGGAAGGAGACCTGGTAGCAGCTCTTCTCAGGCCTCCCTCTCTCTCCCTTCAGCCTCCGCTGCCGCCGCTGCATCATCGTGGGCAATGGAGGTGTCCTTGCCAACAAGTCTCTGGGGTCACGAATTGACGATTATGACATTGTGGTCAGGTGAGCTCCCTAAAGTAGCACCTCAGGCACCTGAGTACCCTGTTCCAAACCCTGAACCTCTAGCCCATTGAAAACAATCTGTCCATCTAGCCACTTGGGCTGGCAGCCTCAAGCATGTTGGGTTGGTGGGCTTTGAAGTACAAAATTAGGTCACACCAGGTGACCTGGATGCCCCATTCCCTGCACCTGAGGTGTTCAAGAATCACAGTACCTCCCCAAACATGGGCCCAACGCAGACCCTGACTGGGCCTGCTCTCTGTAGACTGAACTCAGCACCAGTGAAGGGCTTTGAGAAAGACGTGGGCAGCAAAACAACACTGCGCATCACCTACCCAGAGGGTGCCATGCAGAGGCCTGAGCAATATGAGCGTGATTCTCTCTTTGTCCTTGCTGGCTTCAAGTGGCAGGATTTCAAGTGGTTGAAGTACATCGTCTACAAGGAGAGAGTGGTGAGCTCCCTTGACCCCAGCTCCTTCCCTCTTGCCCTGGGCTTTGCCTTGCCTCTCCAGCTTCCAAGGTAGCCCCTCCCCATGAGCCCCACAAAGAATAAGTAGGAGCCTTCAAAAGAAGCAGTAATGACTCAAAGATGAAAGACAGCAAATGCAACCAAGTGCTAGAGGCCAGGAGTCCCTGGAGCTAAAATACCTGATTTGTGTTACCTGCCTCTTAATACTCGGGTGCACACCTTTTCTCAGCCTCTTCTAGCCAGAACCCAACAGTCCTGAGCCTTCCCTGGCCTTAGTTCTCCAGGGAAGGAAAGCTCTTATCTCTAACCCCCTTCCAGGATTACTCCCAGTCTTCGTGCTTCGCTGCCCTGGCCCTGTGCCTCCCCCTGTGGCCCCCACTACCCCCTTCTGAGATCTCTGTGACTCTGGTCTTATTGGTCCTTCCCTCTTTCCCAGTCCGAGGAGCAAGGCCTTATTTGAGTCCTCGGGCCATTCTGCAGGGACAGTAGGCCCCTCAACTTTGAGGGTGGCAGCTTCCATGTTTATAAGTCTAGACCTCTCTCTTTGTAACCTTACCACTGACCTGTAGTTGGGTCCCCAAACTGCCAGAATCCGGTTATACTCTTCGGGTATGATCAGATTTTGTAGTCACTGTTCTAGGCAGACAAGTGCCTGGGCTCACTTTTTTAGGGAGTTTATGTGGCAGAATAATATCAGACTGCTTGTTAGTGCTACCCCTCTGAATCCCCTCCTGAGACCTCTATTCCTCAGCTCTGTGCCGGCAGGGACACCTGCCAACTTGTGCATACCCCTCCCCTCCAGCTGTCACCAGCCACCAATGGCCAGCTGTACAGCTCAGGCCATTCATCTTCCAATACCCAGGCCTCTTACCAAATTGATGACAGATGGCCCTCTGCCTACAGTTAGAAGCTAGTTGTTCTTTCTGGAGGTTTAGAGAAGAGTTGGGGGGTGGGAACAGCTTAACCTGCTGGTGGAGAGCTCAGTGTAATTTGGTTTAACTTCACAGCCCTTTCCCAAGCAAGGCCAAGTTCAGGCAGTGTCAAGTAGGTAGCAAGGAAGAGAGAAGACAGAAGTCAGGTCCAGAAATTCAGGTAGGTAGAACAGTAGGGAAAGTGGGCCCATCTCAGAACTAGGCTGAATGAGGCAACAGGGTGATCATCTGGCTTTAGACAGGCTCAGCTTCAAAGGCCCAGTGCCCACATAACCAGTCAGAGTGGGAGCAGCCCGGCCAGGAATTTAGCTCAGTGGTTTCGCTGCCTGTTGCACAAGCACAAGGACCAGAGTTCGATCCCCGGTACCAAAAAATCCAGAATGGGAGCAGCCCCTGCTCTCAGAATGCTAGCGCCCAAGTCACCAGTATCCCCAGAGCCTTTCTCTTTGCCTTGAGGGCAATAGAATTGGAGTCACAGGTAAGCATTTTGAAGGGAGAAATGGAGGGAAATTAAGTCCTCCTTAGTGAACCCCGGGGACCCTGGGGGCTGCTTTTTCACTCTGGCCTCCTGCCCATATGCCCCCTCTCTTAGCAGTTCATTTCTCTGCCCATGGACACCTGTCCAAACCCGAAGCTTACCTCAGGGCAGGGCCTTGATCCCTTTGGTTTTTGCCCCTCAGCACCCAGTCACCATAAATGATCTGGAATTAGTCTGGAATTTGTTCATACACCAGCTCCTACTTTCTGCTAGTTGGACTGGGAAAAGCCAGGCAGGGCAGATTAGGAGGGCAAGCCATAGGGGCCAGACCACCACGCTGACTGCTGATACTTGTTCCCTCCAAGAGCACCAAGGTCAGTCAAGTCAGGGTTCCCGCAGTTCATCCAAGGGAGAAAGGAAAGAACGAAAGGGAGGAGAAAGCCAGCTAGAGTCGGAGGACACAGGTAGCAGCAAGACTGAGAAGCTCCCAGCCCAGGCAGGTCGAGGTTCTACAGCAGAAATGCACACTCAGACTGCTTCCCAGTCCTGTCCTGCCACGCTCAGGAATCCAAGACCAGCCTTGTGCGAATGACAACTCTATCCCAGGGTGGGTCGGGGTGAGTGGGAAGGAGATGGAGAAGAGTCCTGTGTAGTTCTGTGGGCTTTTCCTCATGCCTTCAGAGTGAGCTGCCAGAGGAATCCAGGGATGCCTATGGCCTGACCTTTCCTATTATCCAGAGTGGACTTTGTTTGGGTCCCTTGCTGTCTCAGTGGCCCCCTACATAATACCCTTTTCCACCCCAAGCTCAAGGCACTCCCAGGACTGCTCCATGGTCTGCTTCACTTCTCCAGCCACTGAGACCCAAGTGAATATGAGCCAGGCTGCTTCTGTTTGGTGCCTTGCCACAGGGCCCAGCCACAGGCCTGCCCTGCTACTGCAATGGTGTTTCTAGCCATGCAGCCTCAGGCTGCTGGTGAGCTCTGCACCTGTCTGGAGCCTCACCTGCAAAATTCTGGCAGGAGGCAGCTCAGTTCTGGAGCCAAGGCCTGGCTGGGCAAGATTGGAACAGGTGTTAAGCCTCAATCACAGGTGCTCCCTGCCACTAGCTATGTGAGCAGTCACTCAGTGTGTGCTGTTCTCGTACCTGGAGTCCTGCTGGGGTATGGAAAGGGTAGGGTGTGAAAAAGGGACAGGGTAGCCGGGGATTTAGCTCAGTGGTTTTGCTCCCTGCTGCGCAAGCACAAGGACCCGAGTTCGATCCCTGGTACAAAAAAAAAAACGGCGGGGGACAGGGTTGATTCTACTCCTATCTAGCTGGGGGCTCTCCTCTTCACCATTTATGGCCCTTTGGTTCCTTGATTCACTGGATAGTAGCACAGATAACTCCAAACAAGTTCTTCAAAGGCCCTTTATCTCCCCATCCCAAGAGTCTTTACCAAGTTATTGAGCAGGTACAAGAGCTCCTGGAAGGCCTTGTGTGCTCAGGGCATCTCAGAAGAGCACCAGTGGACAGGTGAGTACCTGTGGAACCTGAGGCCAGGAGGGAGGGTGGATCCCAGAACTAGAGGATACAGCCATAGGGAGAGGTGGTGGCCTCCAGCTCCTGTGAAACTCTCCTTGGAGGCAGATCTGCCGCCATCCCCTATGCATTCCATGGGAATCCAGAGATGAATCAACACTCTTACTGATCCAGAATTGCTCACAGTTTGGTGGAAGAAACAGTCCTGAAACAACAGTGATGGTGCAGTGTACCAGGAGTCATGATGGGGAGACACTAATGTGGCCCTGAGGGCAGCCTGGGAGGGGACAGGAGGAGGCATCCTGGAGGAGGCACTGCTGAGCTGGCTGAGTGAGCCTGGTGAAGGTGATATAAGCAAAGGGAACCTCATGTGAAGAGGCCCAGAGAGACCACACTCCATTCAGGTCACTGAATAATACTATGTGAGCTGAGCAGGGCGCAGTGCCAGCAGTGTATCAGAGAATGCTGCCATGTGTCTCAAATGCTGAGGGCTATGCATCCTCCTCCTGGTGCTGGATGAAGGCTGGAGATGCCCCATTCCCTGTCCAAAGGAAGGGACCCTGGGGCCTGAAGTGATGGGACAGGTGAGCGGCAGAGCTTCCCATAGAGTCACCAGGCTGGGTCAGTGTGGGTATGGTCCCAGCCCTGCAGTGGGAAGGAAGAACATGAGGGCCTGGGATAGTTTTGTTTTTGTTTTTGTTTTGTACTGTGGATCAAACTCAGGACCTTGAGCTTGCGAGTCAGGTGCGGCACCACTGAGCTAAATCCTCGGCCCTGCCCAGGATAGTTTTGACAGAGGCTTGACCTTCAGCAGTAAGTTGGGAGGGAAGAAAGGGCAAGATCACAGAGGCCAGCTAGGGCCTTCCATTCATGTTTGGGGGACTAGATCTGTGATTTCAGGAGCAATGACATGTTTTAAGAGAGGAAAACAGCTTAGGCTATGAAGTTATACAGACTTGGGTTTACATTTAGACTCTTGGGGCTGGGCATTTGGCTCAGTGGTTCCGTCACCTGCCTCGAAAGCACAAGGTCCCAAGTTCAATCCCTGGTACCACACACACACAAAAAAAAATACATTTAGAGTCTGGTACTTATTAGCTAAGGTTACCTTTGGCAAATTATTTGTCCCCTTAGATTTAGTCTCACACAGCAGTAGTGGTACTATCCATCTTTTAGGGTTGTTTTAAAATTAAGATGGAACAGAGAAACACCCAGCACAGAGAACCTAGTAAGTTCCCAATCTAGGGCAGTCGTTAATGTTGGTGGTATTGTTACAGTTAGAAAAGCCCTGTTGCACTAGAGAATGAAGCATTTGTCTGTCCAGGCTATGTGGCCTGACCTAGGCAGTAACCTTAAAATAGGCAAAGGCCAAGCCTAAAGGAAGGGGAGACTGAACCGCAGCAGCAGAGCTGAGCCAGCAGTCTGAGAAATCTAAAGGGTAAACAGGGCCACCAGATCTGAGTGTGAGGCCTCACTGAACCAGGCCCAAGCTGGGGATTGGATATCCATCTTCACCTGAGCCTCTTTCCTGTTCGGGCTTGAGAAGACTCTGCCCAGGAGGAGCCCAGCCTGGGTACTACCTCACCTTTGTGGACAGTCAGGCAGGGCCTATAGCATGGCCCTGACTGCAGAAACACCCTCGACTCCTCCAAGCCCCTCCAAGCTGAGCCCTCCTGGGATATAGCATTCCTTTTGCAGCCATCTCCAGTGGCCATAGCTGTCTTTCTCATGCTTCTCATGCCCTGTGAGTGCTGGGAGGACTTCATGCTCCCTTCCTATACCGTGTCTGACTGTTGCTTCTCTACCCACAGGAGTGGGCCTTGTGTCATCACCACCCTGTGCTTCTCTGCACTGCTGCCCATCTGTGACCTCTTGGTTCTTCTGCCTCATAAAAATTGTCATTGTCCTCTTCTTTTCCTGCCTGTCTTCTCCTTCTATTCCTCCTTCTTAGTTTCTTTTCTTTCTCTCCTTCTTCCACTATCACCATCGTAGGTGTCATTTATTAAGCTCTTCATTTCCCCAGCATTCCTTGAATTCCTTTATTCATTATCATAATGACCCTATTAGATGAGTACTGTTGTCCCCATTGTAGAGCTCAGGAAATAAGCAGAGAGGGCAGGTTGCTTGCTTAATATCACCCAGCTAGGTAAGTGGTAGAGTTGAAGTTAAATTCAAACAGGACTTTCTGAGAACTCAGTCTGACCACATACCTTCCTGCTTAGAATCCTCAATTAATCAGCTACTACCTGCCAAGGCCTAGGGGAATGCTAAGAGCTATCTTTACGTGCCAGGCCTGGGCTACATGACTTGCATGGATTAATTCAGCAACCTGTGAGGCAGCTACTCGGAGTACTAGAAAGTGGCAGAGCCACATGTTAGACTTAAGGTATCTCACTTTAAGCACTGTACTGTGACACTTCTCATTTACTAGTTTGTTCATTCAAATCCAAATCAGTCACCAAAGTCATGTAAAGTCCCATACTTCCAACACCATCCTAGTTATACTCCTCCGCATGCCTTTCTCCACATCCAACCAGTGGACTGAATCTCACATGGAGAGAAAAACTACAGTTGAGGTTGTAACCCATATTACCTTACTAGCATCTTGGGGCTACTTCCTATAGGAAGGAACCTATGTCCTGTCACTGATCATTGATCTCAGAACTGTACCCTCGACATCTTCAGTTCTACTTTACCTCCAGTCCTGTCCCAAGCAGAAATCACACATCCAGCTGCACAAGGAAAATAAACATCACCATTAATCAAGACCTCTCAATGTCCCACCCCCCAGTCTACACATTCCCCTGCATCGATTCCTCCTTTTCTCCTGCACAATCTTTCCTGGGCCCAGTATCAATTTTTTCCTGATCTCAGAGGCCCTCTCCTCTCATCTCTTCAGGAAGCTATCTTCCTTTGTTTACTGAGCTTCCTCTGGCATCTGTACATTTGTTCACGTCTCACCTTGGAAATAAAAGCCCTCCCTCTAGCTCATGTTCATTCTCTCTCCTTCCTTTCCTTTTCAGCTTTCTGGAAAGAGTCACCACCTGTCCCAGCAGCCTCATGTTTGCCCCTTCAGTTTCTCAAGCCCTCCAGCCTGTCTTCCAAATCCATTCCTCTGACAGTAACCTTTTTGATTCTAAATCCAGTGGACTCAACCTCTGCCTTTCCTGTGAAGGAACAGCTATCAGCAATTATTCAGCAAGTATTTACTGGGCACAGTGTTAGGTTCTAGGAAGAAGCTAGTGGCCAAAAACCTGAGAAGCATCCTTAATTTCTCATCTCTCCTTTGGCCTCCATATTCAATCATTCAGTCTCCAGATCTATGACTACTCCTACAAATATCTTGCTTCGGCTATTTCAGCAGCTTTTTATTTTCCTTCCTCCTGTCCATGTTCCTATATCAGTAAGATTGGTTCCTTCTCTTGTTTAATGGTTGCCCATTGCCTAGCTGTACCAGTTCCCAGTGTTCCTTCTCATGCTGACAGCATTAGCACCACCTGGACATTTGTTATTTGAAGAGGAGCCCCCTTAGAATTTCTGAATGAGATGTTCTGGAAGTGGGTGCATCCATCTGTGTTAACAAGTTCTCTCACTGACTCAGACAGACTCAAGTGTGAGAACCACTGGCTTGCAGGATGAAATTCAAACTCCATAGCATAATGTAGCACTCATGAGCCAGCCCTTGCCACTCTTTCTTACACACCCAACATGTATAGGACACTCTGGTGATACAAAAAGGTGTCTACTGTTCTCACCTCCATGTTCCACCTACTGCCCCTCCCAGGACCTCTGGGAAACAAAAACAACCTTGTTTATGTCTTAAGCCCAGCAGGGTTTGAGCATAATTGGCATATCTAAAGGAAGAAAATTAATGTGGAAACCGAGGCCAGAATGAGGCAGTAACTTCTGAAGAATTGGGGTTCTGACCCCAAACTTTGGCTCTCAGTCAGGGCTCTTTTCCTCAATTCCATTGTCTCTTGCTTTCATTGCCTGAGAAATTATTCTTTTGGACTCAGAGCCTTGCATCCTCTTGCTCTCTTTTCTTCTGGGAATCTCTTTCCTCTTCACCATGTTTGATCTTCTTTCTGCAGCTCCAAGATCATTTTCCTTGATAAGGAAATGAAAATTAAACAGTCCCTGGCGCCCTGCTTCTTTGAGTTGTCTGTCAGCATCACATGGTCTCTCCCAAGCCAACTCCTCTTTCTGTTCTTTGCGTTTTCCAAATATAGCTTTAAAAAAGGTTTTTTGACCCTCTCCTCATAACACTCATCTAAATAAATTCCAAGTTGACTATAAAAAGTAAATTATAAAAAATATAGCCAAAGGAAGTTTTGAAGAAATAGAAATCAAATCTTGCTACCATATGCAAATTTAAACAAAGACTGTACCACACAACTTTGAAAAGTATATTTAGAAAATATGAGCGACAGCACAGTGGCTCATGCCTGTGATCCCAGCACTTGGAGGCTGAGACATGAGGATTGTGAGTTCTAGGCTAGCTTTTACTATATAGGGAGCCCCTGTCTTAATAAAACAAGGGGGAGGACAGTATTTTCATGATGGTAGATGAGAAAACCATTGGAAACCCAGCAGCTAAGGGGAAAGAGATGATCAGATTGGGGGCGGGGGGGG